TCGGCCTGACTCTCCCCCTCCCCTCCCCACCCCGCAGCCGGCTCCTCGCCTGGAGGCGGTCCTGGCACACTCCCCGGCCTGCCAGCGTCCATCGGGGTCAACGGATTCGGTCCCCTGACCCCCCAGACCAACGGGCAGCCGGGCTCCGACTCGCTCTACAATAACGGGCTCTCTCCTTACCCAGGTGGGCACCGCGGCTCTGGGTCCACACATGCGCCCGGCCTATCACCTGGGCTGCACCCCTGTCCCCCTGTCCCGGGCACCACTGTGCAGGCACGGGGTGGGCAGGGGGACTTGGGAGGGGATTAGCCTGTTCTCAGGGGTCAGCTCACCCCCCCCATCCCCTAACGACCTCTCTTGGTACTTAGCCTCAGTTGAACTGGCCACAGCTGGCCAGGTGCCCGGCCCCTGCTTAGGGAGCGCCCCGGGGTCACTGCCCTCTCTCCTTCTGTCTCCAGCAGCTTACCAGTCGACCTACGCACCAGTGAGCACAGCTTTTGCCCAGCAGCCTTCAGCCTCGCCCCAGCAACAAAGAGAAGGTGAGGGAGTGACCAGGTGTCCTGGAAGGGGGCATGAGGGGAGGTGTTGGAGATCTGGGCCTGGTCCCTTTCCCTGAACCAGCCTCACACTGTTCCCATGTGCCTGGAGGGCTCTGGTCAGGGTTCATCCCCTGAACCAGCCTCACGCTGTTCCTGCAGGCCCGGAAGGCTGTAATCTCTTCATCTATCACCTGCCTCAGGAGTTTGGCGATGCAGAACTCATACAGACATTCCTGCCTTTTGGAGCTGTTGTCTCTGCCAAAGTCTTTGTGGATCGAGCCACTAACCAGAGCAAGTGTTTTGGTGAGCTGAGCGCCATCCCAAGGCCTCTCCCAGTCTTAGCCTCAGGATTCCCTGCAAAGGCTATGTAAAGCAGTGATTTCCAGAGACTGAAAGAATGAATGAACTAAGCCTAGACCAAGAACAAGTTCACTGGGGAAACTAGGAGGTCCAGGCTTTGGAATGTGGCCAGAACAAGAGAAAGCATCTGAGACCTAAGATACCCTCTAAGTCCAACTGCAGTGTTAAGACCAAAAGAAAGAGGGAGGGAGGGAGAGAGAGAGAGAGAGAGAGCACGAGCGAGCTCCAGCCAACACAAGCCAGGAAAAGAAAGACACACTGGCCCTGCATCCTTCCAAGGAAATCTTAGGACATTTGCTTCCATAAATACGAGTGTGTGTCCATTGTTTATGTGTGCACGTGTGTGTACCTCTCTTCCCACATCCTCCAGGATTCGTTAGTTTTGACAATCCAACCAGTGCCCAGACTGCTATTCAAGCCATGAATGGCTTTCAGATTGGTATGAAGAGGCTCAAGGTCCAGCTAAAGAGGCCTAAGGATGCCAACCGGCCTTACTGACCTGTTCTCACTGACCAGCTACAGAAAGGTGAGTCCCCGATGGGTGCCAGGCATGGGTTGACCAGGCCTTTCCAGTCTTGACGTTCCTTTTGGGATGTCGGGGGGCAGCCAAAGAGAAGAGCCAGGAGCTAAGATGGATCCTTGGATAGAGATAGTGTACTTTCCCTGTAATCCAAGGACTGAGATAAGTTAGATAATAGTCCTACCTCCAAGTTCTGCAGCCATTTCTACTCAAATGGAGCCTCAGAGGCTGCAGAAGTAAAGGCCTATGCAGGGAGAGGACCAGGGGAATGTGATTATATCACCTTGTGAAGGAGCCATACCCCATGACTTCTGACTTCAGAATGGAGTAATGGACAACCAGGTAGTGTTTGAACAAAGATAAGAGCCGGGCACTGGTGGCTCACACCTGTAGTCCTAGCTACTTTGAAGGCTGAGATCTAAGGAAGGACTGCAGTTCAAAGCAGGTAGGAAAGTCAGTGATACCCTTGTTTCCAATAAACTACCAAAAAGCTGGAAGTGGGCTGTGGCTCAATGTGGTAGAGCACTAGCCTTGAACAAAAGGTCAAGGATAGTGCCCAGGTCCTGAGTTCAAGCCCCAGAACTGGGGGGGAGGGGGAGGAAAGACAAGATGTTAGAGCTGAGATAATGATGGTGAATGTGGGGGTGAAGGGAGGGAGGTAAATATGTCCAGATGTTGAATCCTCAGGGCCTGGAGGTGATTCTAGCAGAACCACACATCCACAGAAGGCTTCCTGTAACTCTGAGATGGACTGTTCCTAAAGGTCTACCTGGAGTGAACTGCCCAGGAGTCCCCAGCTGGGATGTTGGTTAGGGTCACTTTGGCACCCAGAGTCTGGCTTCAGGGGACCAAGTTGCTTGCAGGGAGAGAGAGGCTGGCTCACTCCACTGAGATGTCACTGAGGAGGCAGGTTACTTTGCTTTGCCCTGTAGGGTGACTTTTGCCTTCTGCCCTTCTTCTTCCTCTCCCATTTCTTGATCAACGACTACCCAACAACAGAAACTGAAGAGTGAGAAGAAAAGGAAAAGCACAGACATGTGGGCGTGGCCCTTCCGGAAGGAGCAGCAGCAGACAGAAGTGGATCAGACCCAAGGCTGGCACCTGGTGCTCAGGCCACTGGGAACTCTTATCAAGGGGCTGTTCTGCGCCTGTGCTCAGGCCAGTGGAGCAGCGGGGGGCCAACGGCGGAGGACCCACTGACCGTGTGTGGAGGACCAGAAGAGGGTCTGGGGGGGTGCCACATGCTTCTCAGCAAGGGAAGCCTAGATTCACTTCATCCAAAATCATATCATTCCTTAGAGTTTAGGGACCAAAGGACTATTGCCTTTTTTTTTTAAAGAATATATATAAAATATATATCTATATAAATTAAAACAAAGAAAAAAAAAAACAAGAGAAACAAACAAAAGACAGTATAGAGTCTCGTAAAAGCTGCCTTTAAATATCCCCAGGAGACAGGGTGAAGGAGACCCTTGCTAGCTCCAGCCTCAGCAGAGGGGGCTGTGGAAAGATTGTGCTGTGTCTTGTCCTTCCTCCAGCCACTGCCCAAATTCTGCCCTTATAAAAGATGGTGAAGGGTTGATCTTGGCTTGTGTGCAGGTTCACGAGGTTCTGGAGGCAGTGGACTTGTAACACACAATCCCCAAACCCAGAGAGCTGCAGGAGCAGCTGGCCTGTTCGGGACCCCTGGGCCAGCAGGAGTGGGGAACCGGCCTTTCCCTTGCAGCCAAACCATGTAAGCCTTTCCCAGTTTAAATAGGCAGAGGCCTTGCCTCATTGGCTGAGCTGGCGTCACTTCCTGTTTCCCCCTCCCCTTGGGCCAGCCCCAGTGTCTTGCTCCAGGCCACCTTCTGTCTCAGTTCAAGTTTGCCTACCTGTACCAGAGATTCTGGGCACACGCAGAGGGCCAGGAGCACAGAACTTGGGAGGTTTGCCGCTGTATATACTGCCATTGAGAACGGGTCATTGTCACTGTGTTGAAGCTTCAGACTTAGCGGTCCCTCTCTACCCAGGACCTGGGAGGGAAGTAGATGTTTTGCCAAAATACTTCTTCATTCCTTTAAAAAGTCCATCTTTGCTATGCAGGAGTGTCTCTGAGGTGCTTCTAGATGATGAGCAGTGTTGACCTTAGAAGTGGTGTGTGCTGTCTGTCTCTGTCTGTCCGTCGTGTATAGTGGATACCATATAAAGCTGATCAATGGTGGTGCTTCCTGCCTGCTTCTGTGAGATGGCCAAAAGCTTCAGCCTAGGACACCAGGACTTGGCTTGACCGGGTCAGCGTCTCCTGATCCTGCAGGGCCCCTAGCTTCCTTCCCCCCACCACGATCATGGAGCAGCCTAGTCTAGGGCTCCAGTTTTCAGGGAAGGGGAGCTTTTTGATCCCAGATATGGCTGAGGCTGGAAGCCTGTGATCTGGTGTCATTCAGAACATGGCGGGGGGCGGATGGCTCTTCCTTCACAAGAGTTTCTAAGAAAACTTTTTGTTCCCACCTGTTGCTCTGTCTTTGACTCATTTTTGGAGAGAATGGAAGCAGGACCTAGGTGTGGTGATAGCTTTTAGTCCATGCACGCCATTTCCAAAGGGAGAAGGAGCAGCACGGTGCTCAGAAGTAGACCAAACAACTCTGGACACAGGCAGACATAGGTAGCTCCTACACATCCACACAGGCAATCACTAGGTCCTCCTAGTGCATAGCGTGAAGCACTGTGCAAGGTGCTAGGGCCTCTACCAAGTACTGGGAGTTAAGGGAAAAGATGCACGTCAGTTCAACAATGCAAGTCCACACAGTGTCTGTACTAGCACGAGAATACCTAATTCAGAGCCAGAGGTTGGGGCTGGTGGGTCATGCTTGTAATGCTAGCTACTCAGTAGGCTGAGGTAAGAGGATCATGCTTCAGAGCCATCCAAGGCAGAAAAGACTTAAGAGACTCTTACCTCCAACAGCAAAAAGCCAGAGGGGAGGTGTGGCTCAAGTGGCAGAGTGCCAACTGTGAACAAAAAGCCAACTGAGAGTGCAAGGGTTGAATTCAAGCCCCAGTATCAGCATACATACATAAATAATGCCTACTTCAGGTTTTGTTCCTGAGGGGAGATGGACAAAGGCTTCCTGAGGGGTATCAAGGAGGAACACAGGTATTTGGAGCATTAGTGCAGTGGCATCGTGTGTGTGTGTGTGTGTGTGTGTGTGTGTGTGTATGTGTGTGTGTGTGTTATGTCAGGTGTGGAGCTTGAACTTGGGGCCTGGGTGCTATCTCTGAGCTTTTGTGCTCAAAGCCAGTGCTCTACCAATTGGTTAATTAGAGATAAGAGTCTCCCAGACTTTCTTGCCCAAGTTGTCTTTGAACTCAGATCTCAGCCTCTTTAGAAGCTGGGATTTCAGGTGTGAGCCACTGGTACCCATCCTAGCAGAATCATTTTGAAAAATTATTTCTATCATCAAGAAATAGTGATTACCGTTTATTTCCTTTTCTTTCATGTTGCAGATAATGGGTGTAAGACAAGTAGCATTTCCTATTCCTAACTCAGTATGACTGAGTCATGTCACAATTCCTGAACCAAAATAGCACATATGGTGTTTTGCAACATACTTTAGAGTGTGAGTTTGGGGTGTGGACTGTGATTCTCAACCTGGAGGGTGTGGTGTTATCTAGGTCAGGGGCTGATAAACTTAGGCTTGTGTACCAAGTAGCCATACTTTTTTTTTTGTTTGTTTGTTTGGTGTGTGTGTGTGTGTGTGTGTGTGTGTGTGTTGTGTGCCTGTACTGGGGTTTGGACTCAAGACGTAGGTACTGTTCCTTGGCTTTTTTAAACCCAAAACTGGCATGCTACCACTTGAGCCACACTTTCAGCTTTTTGATGGTTAATTAAAGATAAGAGTTTCACACAAACTTTCCTGCTATCCTGGGCAGGCTTCAAACCATGATCTTTAGATCTCAGCCTCCTGAGTAGCTAGGATTACAGGTCTGAGCACCTCACTTTTTTTTTTTTTTTACATTTTAAAGTGGTGACTAAAACAAAGCAAAAAGAAAACAAGAAAAAGGCGATATATATATATATATATACATATATATATATGTGTGTGTATCTATCTATCTATATGTCAGTGCCCAAGATACTGGCCTTTCCTTCAAACAGAAAGTTTTCTGGAGGTCATCGGCAACTTGTATAGTGTCTGACTTTACATAACATGGTGTCTTTGTGTATGCATGTATTAGTCTGGACCCTTTCAGTTTTAAAGTGTCAAAAAAACAAACACAAATATGTCTAAGCCAATGGAAAAGGACTGGGCTCATATAACCAATAATAGAAGAATGTTTCTGCCTTCAGGCATAGGTAGATCTAGAAATTCAAAGGATGCTATCTCTCCTTTTTTTTTTGGTGCTCATGGGGCTTGAACTCTGGGCCTGGGTGCTGTCCCTCAATTCTTCAGCTCAAGGCGAGAGATCTACTACTTAAGCCACAGAGCCACTTCCGGTTTTCTGGTGGTTTATTGGAGATAGGAGTCTCATGGATGTTTTGCCTGGGCTGGCTTTGAACCATGATCCTCAGATCTCAACCTCCTGAGTAGTTAGGATGACAGGCGTAAGCCACTGGCGCCTGGCCATGGATGCTGTCTCTCTTGACATAAGACCACAGAGGTCACAATGGCACACGCACACACACACACACAAAACGGCACACGCCAGTAATACCAGCACTGGGAAGGAGGAGGTGTGAGGATGGTGAGAAAGGCCTAGGCTACATAGTAAGACCTTGTCTCAACAAGAAAGAAAGGTAAGAAGACCACGTACGTTCCCACCATCCTTTCCTTCTGCCCTCCTGCTGTAGCTGTGTAGAACAGAGATCCAGAAAGCAGGCCATAAGCCTGGTTCTGGCGTTTCCCAAATGGTGGTTTAGGGTGCTCAGCAGAAAAGAGAGCCTGGAGGGTGAGCCCTTGCTTCTTGGGAGGCAAGCTGGTCACCGTGGCATGGGGCTTCTTAAGAGAAACCCCAGTGGGTAGGGCTCAAAACCCTGCAATGAACAGGGAATAAAACCCTCACAATTTGGACTCCATGTTGAGATGAAGACTTTGATTATTGTTTCTAGTCCCCCCCCCCCAATCCTGGGGCTTGAACTCAGGGCCTGGGCACTGTCCCTAAGCTTCTTTTGCTCAAGGATAGCGCTCTGCCACTTGAGCCACTTCTGGCTTTTTCTGTGTATGTGCTACTGAGGAATTGAACCCAGGGCTTCATGCATGTGAGGCAAGCACTCTACCACTAAGCCACTTTCGCAGCCCATGTCCTATACTTTAACAAGTCTTCTTGAAAGCAGACTCTGAGGCTGGATTTACATGATGGCTAAGCTAGACAACAGTGATTCAAAGCCTATAATCCTAGCTACTTAGGAGGCTAAGATCTAAGGATCGACGATGTGGCTCAAGTGGTAGAGCACCAGCGTGGACTGTAAAAACTAAGGGACTGAGTTTAAGCATAAGTACCATCACTAAAAAATAAAAAGGTGTAAATTAAAATGTCTGGCTGGGTGCTGGTAGCTCACGCCTGTAATCCTGTCTACTCAGTCGGTTGAGATCTGAAGATTGTGGTTTGAAGCCTCCCTGGGGAGGAAAGTCTGTGAGAGTCTTATCTCCAATTAATTACCAGAAAACTGGAAGTGATGCCTTTTCTGTTTGTGTAGTACTGAGGAATCAAACCCAAGGCTTCATGCATGCTAGGCAAGTACTCTACCACTAAGCCACATTCCCAGCCCTCTTTCTTTTTCTTGGAACTTCCCAAGTCATAAATTCTAGCATATTTCTTCCCTTTCTGCTTTTATTCTCATTCATTTTTGCTTAGGGAAAAGGATTTGATGTTGCCAACCTACAAAGTATATGACTTGCAGAGTCTTGGCAGTGTGGATTGTGGCCCAAGGCAGACAAGACTACACTAAAAACAAAGCTGCATACTGTTCTGAGTCTCCCTGTGTGGACATCTCTACTGTGTGAACTGTGTGAATTGTGTGAAGAAGACAGGAGGGCTAGGAATGTGACTTAGTGGTAGAGTCCTTGCCTAGCATGCATGAAGCCTTGGGTTTGATTCTTCAGTACCACATACACAGAAAAAGCTGGAAGTAACACTGTGGCTTAAGTGGTAGAGTGCTAGCCTTGAGCAAAAGAGGCTAAAGGACAGTGCCAAGGCACTGAGTTCAAGCCCCAGGACTGGCAAAAAAGGAGGAGGAGGAGGAGGACCCACTCCAGCACCCAGATGTGGTTTTCTAGTGCATCCTTGAAATCTCTGTCTCTGGTGGATATATGACCTGCATCTCAGTATATTTGAAAGCTGAGTACCAGTGGCTCACCGTGGCTCACACCTGTAATCCTAGGTATTCAGGAGGCTGAGATCTGAGAACCTCAATTTGGAGCCAGCCAGAGAAGACAAATCTAAGACTCTTATCTCCAATTAACCAGCAAATAGCTGGAATGTGGAGATGTGGGTTAACTGGTAGAGCTTAAAAAGGCTGAATGAGCAAGGCCCTAAGTTCAAACCCTAGGACTGGTCCAGGTGGAGGTGGATGGTGAGGATAATTCCATGCACTCATCCTAATACTGTCTCATTTCGGTGTTTATTTTTTGGGGAGGGTCGGTCGTGGGGCTTGGACTCTGGGGCTTGGGCACTGTCCCTCAGCTCTGCAGCTCAAGTCTAGCACTCTAGCACTTGAGCTACAGCATCACTTCCGGCTTTTTCTGTATATGTAGTGCTGAGGAATCGAACTCAGGACCTCAATCGTGCGAGGCAAGCGCTCTACCACTGAGCCACCTTCCCAGCCCTGCTGTCTCATTTCAGCCTCATCACAGCAGCATGCAGTCCACCAAGTGCTCACCAAGTGTCAGACCCTGAGTTCAAATCCCAGAACCGCCAAAACAAATGAGATCCTTAAGTGTTTGAGGGATGAGCAAGAACGAGGAGGAGGCTGGTCTGTGGTGGCTGGCAGCAGCCAACAGACAACCTGGAGTGCGGGCCCTGAGCAGTCCTCCCAGCCACACGGGGGAGCCCGACGCAGGCGCCCTCCTTCGGAGAGCCCTCCTTTCGCCCCCGGAACCGCTCTTCTTTTCCCCCACGCACCAGGTTGCAGGCACCACCCACTCGCTCCGCACCGCCCCCCCTACCCAACTGGCGTCCACTGCGCAGGCGTCCCAGAGCTGGCGTCGCGGAGGCGGAGTCGCGCCCAAGCGCTGACGGCGCGATGATTGGTCGGAGAGGTACCACGTGATCGTGGCGTCTCCGCGTGAGCTTGCGCGGACTGGCGCAGCGCGCCCGTGACGGAGGGGCTCGGCGTGGGGAGCGCGACCTCGCCCGCCCGCCGGCCCGGCCCCCGCCCCTCGGCCCGCCGCTCCGCCCCCGCGGGGCGTCCCGGGCCGCTCGTCCCCTCGGCGGCGGCCGCGCGCGGCCCGGGGTCGCCGTGAGTACTCGCGACGCCGCCCTGTGCGGGCGTCCGCCCCGGGGCCGGCGCGGGGCGGGGCGGTGGGCCGCGGGGAGGGCCGGGGACTGACGGGCTGGGCGCGCCGGGCAGGGCCGGGCGGCACCGATCCGAGCAACTCTTTCCCCGGGAGGTGTTAGGTGTCCGCGGGGTTCCCGACGCACGCCGGAGGCGAGTGGTCGCTGTTGTCCCTCGGCGGCCGCGTCCTCCCGCCCAGCCCCGGCGTCGCCCGCCGCGGGGAGTCGGAGGAGGCATTAGGCCTCGGGTGGCCCCTCGGCGGCCAGGCCCTGGCACGCGAGGGGGAGCGGGGCGTTTCCCAGGACCCTCGCTGTCCAGCCTAGAAGCCAGTTTGACAGGCCTAACATTGTCCCACCGAGACCCGGCGAAGGAGCCCGTAGCTTACACCTGTGTAATGCCATCTACTCCGGAGGCTGAGATCTGAGGATCGCGGTTCGAAACCTGCCCCGGGCAGGAAATCCCTGAAACTCTTTATCTCCAGCGAACCACCACAAAGGCTGGAAGTGAAGCTGGTGGCTCAAGTTGTAGAGCGCCGGTCTTGAGCACAAAAGCTCAGGGACAGCGCCCCGTCCCTGAGTTCAAGCCCCAGTACCGGCGTAGAAACACAAAACAGGACTTTTGTGTGTGTGTGTGTGTGTGTGTGATCCAAACTTGAGGCTCACCTATATTTGGCTATTCCCGTGGAAATATATGAAGCATTCCCTGCTAGCTGCCACCGCCCAAAAGTAAACATGAAGCTTAACAGCATCCTTCTCTGGGCATGCTTCCTGTAGTCTGTGCTGAAAAGCTTCCCTCCTTTATCTCATTTCCAGAAATCAGATAGCTCTGTATTGCTTCATGTATTATTAACAACTTCTCTAATTATAACTGTACCACAGAAAAACCAGATGTAATTAGGACGTGTCAAAACGGTCTTGATTTCCAAGATACAAGTTGTGTGATGTGCCCCAGGCCTAGAAAAAGTGAAAGCTTTGTTCTAGGTCATCTTTCAAGCCTTATTTATTTTTTTTAAATGCCTTTGCTTCAGTGAATGTCATGATCTATCATCTGCCTTTTTCCACTTTGTACCTCTTAAGCCCACTTTTCCTTTTCTCTGAAGAAAGGGCGTTTAAAATTGAGGATCCAATCCCTATTGCTAAAGCAGCTTGGTTTGAAAAGGCTGGTTTTCAGAACCATCTCTTGTAAAATTCTCCCTCCGAACTTTTCTTTCTGTGACAGCAACAGAAACTAAGCAGTAACAGCCCTTGGAGAGATGCTGAGATTTGCTTGACTTCTCCAGTGTCAAAGACCTTGAGAAAGTTGGTACTTCTGTCCTACGCTGCCACACCATTCTACTACTCACCCAGAATAACCCAGGCTGAACATTAGTGCCTCCATCGAAGAGTGTTCCTCTGGGGGTCACAAGATCAACACTTGACTGTTTATTTTCAAATCTACAAAGATCTTCATATTCTGATTCTCAGCTTCTCCTGAAGGTGAATGAACTTTTGCTTTTAAGAAATGTTTTTGAATTAGCATATATATTCATTGTATAATGGAATTTCGTTATATTCCCATACATAACAATGCACCCCATCAAACTCACCTCCTTCATCTCTTTTCCTCCATTCCCCTTTTTTCCTTTTCCTTTTTTTTTCCCTCTTTTATTTTTCTTGGCTGATCTTGGGACTTGAGCTCAGGGCCTCAGCACTCCCTGAGCTTCTTTGTGCTCAGGAGAGACCGGAAGTGGCGCTGTAGCTCAAGTGGTAGAGCGCTTGCTTTGAGCTGAAGAGCTGAGGGACAGCACCCAGGCCCAACGACCGACAAAAAAAAAAACTTCCTGTAGGCTAGTTAGGGTTACCTTCAAGCAGTATGGATATTTGTGGAGGAGAAACAGCAGAGACAAAGGCTCTGTGGTAGGAAGGTGCTTACTGTATTTGGTGTCTTTTTTTTTTTAATTCTCTGGCACTACTGGGCGTTAGGGTCCTGCACTTGCTCAGCAGGCGCTCTACCACTTGAGTCACTTCCTAAACCCTGCTTCCTATGTGTAAAGGACAACTAAAAGGTAAGGGTTAGCCACCCTGTTAATATTTAGGGTTGACTTTCTAGGAAGAACCTTCTTTGAGAGAGGTCTTTGGTTTTTAACTTTTTACCATGAAATATTCTAAAGCTATACACAAAAAGTAAAGAAGGTAAGACACTCTTAAGTACATCATTCACTTTCGTCAGTGCCAAATTCATTTCATCTGTCTCCCCATTTCCTTTATTCATTGGTGTTAAAGTAGGATTTTTAAAGCAAATCTCAGATATTTTACTTTATCCCTGAGAACTTCAATTTGTGTGTGTGTGTGTTCAAGCCAGTTCTGGGACTTGAACTCGGCCTGGGTACTATTTCTGAGTTCTTTTGCTTGAGGTTAGTAATCTACCACTTAGTAATCTACCACTTGATTCACAGCTCCGTGTCTGGCTTTTTGTGGTTAATTGGAGATAAGAGTCTCACAGCCTAGGCTGGCTTTGAATTGTGATCCTCAAATCACAGCCTCCTGTGTAGCTAGGATTACAGGTGAGAGCCCTCAGTAACCAGCTAGAAAGCTTTTTTAGTTTGCTATCACTCCCAAGGGCTCCCCTTATATGTGAAGCCTCTACTTGGGCTAAAATTGCCTGGAATAGGGTGGGGCAAAGGCTAGGGAATAATGTTTTGCTGGGCGATTATTGGAATCGTTATGCATATATTTTTTTATTTGGATAGGTAATCTTTTATATTACCTTCATAATTATCTTGTTTCCAAGATGATTCCAGAGCATTAGTTTGGCTGAAACAGCTCCAACCATGTTTACTAGCACATCTTCAGTCTTTGTGAGGACTTGGTAGTTAGATATAATTGTCATAAAATGACTTCAAGTAATATTTTTTTTTTTTTTTTGGTCCGGTCGTGGGGCCTGAACTCTGGGCCTGGGCACTGTCCCTCAGCTCTTCAGCTAAAGGCTAGCCCTCTACCACTTGAGCCCCAGGGCCACTTCCGGCTTTTTTCTTTTTGTTTATGTGGTGCTAAGGAATTGAACCCAGGGCCTCATGCATGCAAGGCAAGTGCTCTACCACTGAGCCACCTTCCCAGCCCTGAGATAAAGTCTTGATACGGAGCCTAGACTGAACTGGAACTCCAGATCTTCTTGTTTTGGCCTCCCAAGTGCTGTGATTACAGGCATGTACTAACATACCCAGCTAATATTGGTGTCTTAGTAATGTCCAAGCCGGGCGCTGGTGGCTCATGCCTGTAATCCTAGCTACTCAGGAGGCTGAGATCTGAGGATCGAGGTTGCCAGCCTGGGCAAGGAAAGTCTATGAGACTCTTATCTCCAATAAACCACTAGAAGACCGGAAGTGGTGCTGTGGCTCAAGCGGTAGAGCTCTGGCCTTGAGCTGAAGAGTGTAGGGACAGGGTCCAAGCCCAGAGTTCAAGCCCCACGACTGATCAAAAAAAAAAAAAAGTAATGTCTAAAAAGAAATATATTCTTTACCTGACTTATGTAACTGTAACCCCTCTGTACATCATTTTTATAATAATTTAAAATTTGTTATTTTTGTTGTTGTTTTGGGGGCTTGAACTCAGGGCTTGGGCACTGAGCTTCTTTTGCTCAAGGCTAGCACTCTTCTGCTTGAGCCACAGTGCCACTTCTGACTTTTTCTGTTTATGTGGTACTGAGGAATAGAATCCAGGGCTTCATGCATGCTAGGCAAACACTCTACCACTAAGCCACATTCCCAATCCCTTAAATTTGTTTTTAAAAACAGAGATAATGGGTCAATATAGAGAGTGTGCTCTGGTTCTTACCTCTGATGAGGGCTGGTACTGTGAAGAATAAAGCAGAGATAGTCGAATCAGGTGGTCCTGTCATTCTTTCTTTTGCCTCTGGATGTTGTAGCATAATGATCTAGAGCAGGAATTGGCCCCTGTCCCAGGTCTCCAGTTTGAACCCAACAGTCATATGTTTGTGCAGAACTTTCATGGCTGTGTGTACAAGTGTCCATAAATGCTCATGCGCATGTCTGTATGTGAGTGTCCAATGGTGTGGATGGTAAAAGTGTGCCTGTGTATGCAGCACCCAGCTGTGAAGTGGTGATGAAATTCATTGTTACTGTTTTCTACAGGACGGTGACTTGTTACACCGCAGAAGAGCCTGCATCCCCAGCAGATCTCCCGTCGCCTCTGACATCACCCCTTTCTTGCCTCCCCGTGTGGCCTCCTAAATGCCCGTCTCATTGGCCTGGGTTCAGCTGGTGGTATGGAGGGGTGCTGCCTAGCACTGACCCTGGAGTGCGTGTGACCCTCTGACCCAATGGTGAGAATGGACTGCCCTCCTCTCCCAGGGTGATGAGAGGTAGATGAGACAAAGTGCAGCCTTCACCTTTTCCTGGTATTTGTCCTCTCCCAGCTTGTCAGGGGTAGATGAGATAGAGTACAGACTTCACCTTTTCCCAGTATTTGTCTTCTTGCTTTTGTGTGTGCGTGCATGCTAGTTCTGAGCCTTAAACTCAGGGCCTTGCACTTTGCTCAGTTTTTTCAGTCATAGCTAGCAGCACTTTACCAGTTGAGCCGTGCTTCAACTTCCAGGTTTTTTCCTGGTTAAATTGGAGATCAGAGTCTCAGATTTGTCTGTCCTGGCTGGCTTTGAACCTCAGTCCTCAGATCTCAGCTTGTGGAATACTTAGATTTACAGGCATGAACCATTGTCATCTAGTTCTCTTGCTCTTCTGAAAGATAGAGTGGCTCTTTGAAATTAAAGGAGGTAAGACCTTGAAAATGGTATGACTTGGTTGCTAGGGTCTATAGGTAGGTTTTCCATAGGCCATACAAAGGGATGATGGGACAAGAGCACATCGGTAAGCTTGAGAGCTGTCTTGGGCAGTGATCCCAGTAGAGGCCAGCGCTTAGAAATAAACCTTGAGATTGAAGTTTTTTGTGTCCCTCTGACAGCCAAAGCCTTCATCATTATGCTGGGTCTTAGGATAGCCAGAATTCTCTGTGGTTTTGTTTTTTTGTTTTTTTTCTTTTTCTTTTTGCCTGTTGTGGGACCTGAACTCTGGGCCTGGACGCTGTCCTTCCGCTCTTCAGCTCAAGGCTAGTGCCCTACCACCTGAGCCACAGCACCACTTCTGGCTTTTTCTGCTTATGTGGTGCTGAGGAATCAAACCCAGGGCCTCACGCATGCAAGGCAAGCGCTCTACCACTGAGTCACCTTCCCAGCCCCTTCTCTGTGGTTTTCTTCTGACCCACCAAGTGAGAGCTAGGTCATGAATTTGATCAGATTCGGGAAGAGACAGACTCCCAAAGAATAAAGTGAGGTGTAAAGAGAGTAAGGCCTCAGTTTTTCCACTCAGGCAAGTGTTCTCCATTTCTTGTGGGCATCCATTTCCATCTTCTCACCTCACCTGATCCAAATGGACTAACAGGACCCCTGACAAGGAATGTGTCCATTTCTCATCTCTAGGACATCAAAGGCCAGTTCTGGAATGATGACGACTCAGAAGGAGACAATGAATCTGAGGAATTTCTCTATGGAGTTCAGGTGAGGTTGTACCCTGCAAAGCTCAATGTAGGGGGATGGACAGTCAAGATTTCATGAGTCAAAGAAGTTGTTCTGGAGCAGAGTTGAGACGAGGGATTGTATTGGTGTGGACCAGTTATGGTCTTGTCACAGCTGACTCCGTGTCCATGTCCCTGCCTGGGACTACTCCTGTCCTGGAGTAAACGGCATCCCTTGTAAGTGGAGGCTACCCACTTGTTACTTCCTGAGTTTCCTACTATCAGTGAGGATTGTTTCAAATCTTAAAAAGAGTGCTCTCTGGGACATTGCTCACTCACATTGTTCTCTAAAGCACAACCTGAGCTTGAACTTGGTCTTCTGTAGTCATATGACTTTTTTTGCTCATGGCTGACATTCTGCCACTTGAACCACACCTCCACTTTCAGCTTTTTACAGGTTAGTTGGAGATAGGAGTCTTGCAGATTTAGCTTTCTAGGCTGGTTCTGAAAAAATTTTTTTTTTTTGGTCTGTCGTGGGGCTTGAACTCTGGACCTGGGTGCTGTCCCTCAGCTCTTCAGCTCAAGGCGAGCGCTCTACCACTTGAGCTACAGTGCCACTTCCGGTTTTCTGGTGGTTTATTGGAGATAGTCTCACGGTCTCTCCTGCCCGGGCTGGCTTTGAACCTTGATCCTCAGATCTCAGCCTCCTGAGTAATTAGGATTATAGGCGTGAGCCACCAGTGCCCGGCTGAGCTTTTTTTTTTGGTCGGTCGTGGGGCTTGAACTCTGGGCCTGGGAGCTGTCCCTCAGCTCTTCAGCTCAAGGCTAGCTAGCACTCTACCACTTGAACCACAGGGCCACGTCCGGTTTTCAAAAGTCTCACAGACTTTTCCTGCCCAGGCTGGCTTTGAACCGTGATTCTCAGATCTCATCCTCCTGAGTAGCTAGGATGACAGGTGTGAGCCACTGGCGCCCAGCTGGTTCTGAATTTTGATCCTCAGATTTCAACCTCCTCAGTAGCTAGGATTATAGGCCTGAGAGATTGGTGGCTGGCAAGAGTGCTGTTTAGATAGAATCTTTCTGAGGTTTTGTAGGTTGTGGTCTGAGAGAAAAAGTGCCACCACCAGGTACAATGGAAAGTGGTTTTCATACCCCATATTGCTGCTGTTTTGGGGTTTTTTTTTTTTGCCAGTCCTGGGGCTTGAACTCAGGGCCTGGGCACTGTCCATCAGCTTCTTTTGCTCAAGGCTAGTGTTCTACCACTTGAGTCACAGTGCCACTTCCACTTTTTTGTGTGTTTATGTGGTACTGAGGAATTGAACCCAGGGCTTCACGCATGATAGGCAAGCACTCTACCACTAAGCTACATTCCTAGCTGCTGTTTTCTTTCTCCTCCTAGTATCTTATTCTTTTTATTCTCATCTCTCCATCTCTCCCATTGTTTATTTCTTTCTGCCCTTCCTGCTATTTCAGGGTAGCTGTGCAGCTGACCTGTACCGACACCCACAGCTTGATGCAGATATTGAAGCCGTGAAGGAAATCTACAGTGAGAACTCTGTGTCCATCAGGTGGGACTCCAGGAATGACAGGGGAACAAGCCACTTCTTTCTGAGTTGCTGAAGGCTAGAAGTTTTTTTTTTTTCTTTTGATAGTGTGTTAGGGAATAACTATGAGCTTAATGCTAGAGGTTGCTCGAAATGTGTAAGCTGTGTGTGGGAAGTAAGGCTACTTTTCTTTGAAGTTCCCTCTTGTCCTAACCCCTTATAGGCCAATATTTCACATTTAAGGTGAGAAGGGCTTCTTCCTTGGAGAGGGGCCTGATAATATAAATGGTTTAAGTCTGTATAGATAAGACTGTATAAAGAGAACAGCCTTCCATCCTTTCATCTTCCCTGTCCAGGCTCAGCCCTCCCTCCACCTCAGTCTCTGTTCCCTCCTTTCTCCCTTAATGAGCCTCACTTGTACTTGCCTGTGTCTCTGTAGAGAGTATGGAACTATCGACGACGTGGACATCGACCTCCACATCAACGTCAGCTTCCTCGATGTAAGTGGTGCTAGCACCTGCCAACACCATGTCTAGCTGGACTTGTGGATTTTGTCATGTAGGCCAGGAGTCTTGTTCCTGAGTGCTGTATTTGGAGCACATATTCTTCATCTCTCTCTTTCCTAGACCATCAACAGACAGTGGTGTGTACTGTCATGTGCATGTCTATGTCATACGTGGGAAACTTGCCGTCCATTCCTCTGTGTGGAAAACTGCAAGCTGTTTCCCTGTTTCTCATAGGAGGAAGTGTCTACAGCCTGGAAGGTCCTCCGGACAGAACCCATTGTGTTACGATTGCGGTTTTCTCTCTCACAGTATCTTGATGGGCCAGGTAAAGACGGTAGTGACCTTGGGCAAATGGGTGCTGTACTTCCTACATTAGCTGATGTAGAGAAAAACTGGAAAGGTTGCCGTTGGAGTGGCTTTTCAGTGTCTTGTCATTGGTGACTTTATCTCCAATCAACTATTAGGCCATTCCTTAAAGGCCTTTGTGGTTAGGGAAATTCTTTCTCTAGTTCCAAAATAGCATTTCTTCTTCCTCCTCTGCTCAACTCCCTAATGAAGATATGTGGAATTGATGAGATTGCTTCTAAAATCTATCCTCTGCCTCAGCAGTTTCTCCTTCCACAGTTACTGCTTGCTTGCTTTTCTTTTCCTTTCCTTCCCTTCCTTCCTTCCTTCCTTCCTTCCTTCCTTCCTTCCTTCCTTCCTTCCTTCCTCCTTTCCTCCCTTCCTCCCTTCCTCCCTTCCTTCCTTCCTCCCTTTCTCCCTTCCTCCCTTTCTCCCTTCTTCCCTTCCTCCCTTCCTCCCTTCCCTTCCCCCTTTGCCCCCTTCCCTTCCCTTCCTTTCCCCTTTCCCTTCCTCTTTCTCTTTCTTTCTTTCTCTTTCTTTTTCTCTTTCTTTCTCTCTCTTTCTTTCTTTCCCAGGGGCTTGCACTCAGGGCCTGGGCACTGTCCATGAGCTGCTTTTGCCCAAGGCTACTACTTTACCACTTGAGCCATAGCACCACTTCCAGCCTTTTCTGTGTATGTGATACTGAGGAATCGAACCCAGGGCTTCATGCATGCTAGGCAAACACTCTACCACTAAGTCATATTCCCAGTCCCCACAGTTAACTGTTTAGAGTATCTGTAGTACCTAAAGTAGTCTGGAGCATCTCTAGTATCTAGAATAGTTTGGAGCATCTCTAGTATCTAGAGTAGTCTGGAGCATCTGTAGTACCTAGGGTAGTCTGGAGCATCTGTGTTGTGTAAAGTAGTCTGAGACATCTCTAATACTGAGGGTAGTCTGGAGCATCTCTAATACCGAGGGTAGTCTGGAGCACCTGATTTTTTAGGCTCTAAGGAAGCTGTCCCACTGAACTGTGGCTCTGAACTCAGGAGGATGGAGATAGGTACTTACTAGGACTTTTTTTCTTCTCTTTGCAGAACCGTCAATTGAGGTTTTCCAGCCATCGAATAAGGAAGGATTTGGTCTGGGTCTTCAGTTGAAAAAGTAAGAATGGTTAACTTTTCTGGTTGTGGACTAATGAGGGAGAGAATAATGGATACCTATGCTAGACAACTTTTCATTTCTGTGAAAAATATTTGAGATACTGGGAAGGAGGAAAGGTTTACCATGGCCTCCATCACTGTTTGGTATATAAAGGACAGTACAGCCCTGCAATCAGATTTTTTTTTTTTTCTCTTATGGCTTCCTCAAGGGGCTCTAGAGACTCAGACCATTTTAGTTTATTGAATGTGCTGAGAATTTTCTGCTAAATATTTGCCCATAAAGAGAAATACAGCATATTTTCTACTTTAGTTGTATTGCAAACAGTGTCCAATACAAGTGCAGCCATGAAAATGGAGGGTTGGAAAGGACAGCGAGGGAGGAATGACTCATGCTGGTGACAGGAGAGGGCTGTGAGCAAGAAAGTAAGAGGGAGATGATCATGGCAGGGGCGGGCTATGGGTGAGAGAATGAGAGGGGGATAATTCATGATTTTCAACGATGGATGAAAGTTATCCATGTAGCCAGGCATGGGTGGCGCACACCTGTTATCCTAGCTGTTCATGAGGCTGAGATCCGAGGATCGCAGCCAGCCCAGACAGGAAATGCCTGAGACTCTTATCTCCAGTGAACCACCAGAAAACTGAAAGTGGTGCTGAGGGTAAAGTGGTAGAGTGCTAGCTTTGAACAAAAAGACATCAGGGACAGTGCCCAGGCCCTGAGTTCAAGCCCTGTGACTCCTCCCTCTCCCCCCTCCCCCCCCCCGCAAAAACAAAAGAGAGAGAGGGATTACTTTGGGATATGCAAGTGGAGAATACCCAGTACACCAAATGTCAGTTTGTCTACTCACAGGTAAGAGTGGAAGGTAAGCACCAATGTGTGGGTAGAGATTATAATCAGTGAATACAAGATTGCTGGAGTGCAGAGCATGATAGGTTGAAAAGAAAATAGAATCAGACCCAACACCCATTCAAACTATCTGAAAAATTACTGGGGTAGGCCAAGGAATAAGAAACACTTTAGGCAGATCAGAGAAGACTAGAAAGCAAGTGGTGTCACAGAAGATGAGGGAAGAGAACTTCAAGGAGGGTCATGTGCCATGGGAGAGGAGTAGGAAGAGGACTTAGGAGTTTCTGCTGGGTTTAGCAGCAAGGAGAGAATACTTGGTGAGTGTTTAGGGGAGAAATTGGGATACAGAGAGCTGAGAAGTGATTGGCTGACCGGAAAGGAGAACCACGAAGGAGGAGGTGAGGAATTTAGGAGAAGGTAGAGGGGAGGAGTGTGAGGCAGATGTGGAACTGAGATGACGGAAAGCTGTAATTTGTAGTTTTGGGGCAAGACTGACTGGAGAGGAGGCTGATGGGACAGGGTCCTCAGCATTCCGGGAGGGCACTGATGGCTCAAATAGAGCAGTCTTGAGTACAAGGCTTGCCTGGTCTTCACAGAACTCAGGGACCAAGGTCAGGGTAGACCCAGAAATGGAGTTGGTAATCGGGTTGGCTGTACATCCTGTAGGAGTGTGAAGAAGCTGATGGGAATTTTTTCTAGTAGAGTAATACTGCTAAACAGAACCAGTGGAGGATGAGTGAAAGGACCGGCAAGTCTGGGAGTTGGAAACCACAAATTTGGGGATGTGATTTTTTCACTCCCCTATTAGAAGGTAGAAGGTGGTACTGACCTCTGTCCTGCCTCTTTCCCTCTCCCGGTGGTTATCCTTGACAGTAAGTCTTCAGGTCCATAGCCTTTGAGGGTTCACCTTTGAGTTCTTGGGACTTCATCTTCCATTAGGGTAGACACTAGGAGAGAGTGTTTATCCTCAAGAGGGCAGGAGGAGTTTTAGGGTCATCTACTTCCATGTGTTAGGGTCCTTTTGAGGAGTCTTTAAACATTCCTCTAACACCACCAGCTTTGCCATCATGGGTGAGTACCCTGTCTTGCCTCCACCTGCTCTGTTCTTTGATCCCTCAGAATCCTGGGTCTGTTCACATCCCAACAATGGAAACATCTAAGCAACGACTTTTTGAAGACCCAGCAGGAGAAGAGACATAGTTGGTTCAAGGCAAGTGGTACCATCAAGAAGTTCCGAGCTGGCCTCAGCATCTTCTCACCCATCCCCAAGTAAGTACGCCCACTTTCTTAAATACCTAAATTAATATTTCTTACCTTTGTCCTAAATTCTGTATCTGTAACTACTAGCAACATCTTATGGTTCTGTCTCCTTTGTGTCCTTACCCATCTGCTCCTGCCTGACCCACTCGCGTGTGCCTCATCCTTCGTGTTAACTACAGTGGTACATATTCTGAAGCAAGTTTGCAGATCTTCCTACTTTTTCTTTGCTTTCATCCTTATTCCCTATCTTAAAGAGGCAGAATTTGCAATCAGGCACCAACTCCTTTTTTGCTCTAATGCATTTCACCTCACTATCTAGGTTCTGGAAAAAAATATGGCTCTGTTGGCTGAGAGTGGGGCTTAAGTGGAACAATACTACCTAGAAAATTGGAGGCCCTTACTTCAAACCTCGGTGTCAGAAACATATATATATATATATTTTTTTTTTTAATTTTTAATTTATTTTTTTTCCGGTTCTGGGGCTTGAACTCAGGGCCTGGATGCTGTCCCTGAGTGCCCAAGACTGATGCTCTACCACTTGATCCATAGCACCACTTTCATTTTTTTCTGAGTAGTTTGTAAGATAAGAGTCTCAAAGATTTTTCTACCTGGGCTAGCTTTGAACTGAAATCCTCAGATCTCAGCTTCCTGAGTAGCTAAGATTATAGGTATGAGCTCATGACACCCAGCTTAATTGTTTTTTGACAGAACTGGGATTTGAACTCAAGACCTAATACATAGTTCTTGCTAAGTAGGCAATCTACTAATTACCACCATACCTCAAGCCCTTTGTCCTGTTTTTACTTTTTTAATAGGGTCTTAAATATGGATTGGGCCCACTTTGACTTTAATCTACCTATTATACTCGGATGACAGAACACATCACCATGCTCAGCCTTTTTTTTTTTTTTTTTGTCGGTTGTGGGACTTGATCTCTGGACTTGGGTGCTGTCCCTGTGCTCTTCAGCTCAAGGCAAGTGCTCTACCACTTGAGCCACAGTGCCATTTCTAGTTTTCTAGTGGTTTATTGGAGATAAGAGTCTCATGGACTTTCCTGCCCAGGATGGCTTTAAACTGGGATCCTCAGATCTCAGCCTCCTGAGTAGCATGAGCCATCGGCACCCAGCCTTGCTCAGCTTTTTTATTGGTTGAAATGGTGTCTCATGAACTTTTTGCCTTAGCTAGTCTGGAACCATGAGTCTCATTTTCCTCTTCTTCAGTGGCTAGGACTATAGGCAAGAACCACGCTGTCTGGCTCCAGGTTTATATTTTTAGTCCCTAGCACCTTCTGAACTCCCCAAAGGAATGCATAAATCCAGGTATGTAGTTTGCTGACAGTTATTGGACATTAGACTCTTTAGCAGTCAACTACTTGTCTAGTGTTCTGTTTAGTGCTTAATACTTCTCTCTCACAAAATGGGTTAGTGACAGAGGCATCCCCCCCCCAAGGTGTCTTGTGCCTGCCCTGAATGCCATGATAGCCCAGGCTCAGGCCTCCCGACCCCATGCCCCCATCTGAAGAACAGGATGACAATTGTGTAACCTACATTGTCTTGACAGTGTTTAAGATCCATAAAACATTCTTGAGATGTGAGTTTGTCTTCGGCTTAAGTTCTTGGGCTTTCTTGACTCTTGTCCCCTTTTAGAGTGCAGAGTGAATCCTCAGCTTTCTCAGTTCCTTTTGTCCTGTTTTCCTCCAGGTCGCCCAGTTTCCCTATCATACAGGACTCCATGCTGAAAGGCAAACTGGGTGTACCAGAGCTTCGAGTGGGGCGCCTCATGAACCGTTCCATCTCCTGCACCATGAAGAACCCCAAAGTAGAGGTGTTTGGCTACCCTCCCAGCCCCCAGGCAGGTCTCCTGTGCCCCCAGCACGTGGGCCTCCCTCCCCCAGCACGGACCTCTCCTTTGGTACATGGGCTGTGGAGGGCTTGATGGGTATTTGGAGGGTGGAGGTGGAGATGTGGGAGATGGTGGGGGTGGTTGTCCAGACAACTAAGGTGAAACCTGAGCATATACTATGCCTGGGTAGCATGTAATATATTTTTAAATAGCTAGAAATTCTATCTAAACTATGTCATGGGTTTGTATGGTAGTGGATCATGAAGTAGAGATGGTGTCTGAAAGAGTCATGCATGATTTTATTAGGTGTGCTTAGTGCTTGGTAATCAGCTGCTATGCTAATTCCATCTACTGTGTGTGTGTGTGTGTGTGTGTGTGTGTGTGTGTGTGTGTGTGTGTGTACGTGTGTGTGTGTGTACATACACATGCACATGTCAGTATAGCAACTCCAGACCTACCACTTGAACTACTTTTTTTTTTGGTTGGTCTTGGGGCTTGAACTCTTGACCTGCTCTACCACTTGAACCACAGCACCACTTCCGGTTTTTTGGTGGTTTATTGGAGATAGGAGTCTCACGGTCTCTCCTGCCCGGCCTGGCTTTGAACCGCGATCCTCAGATCTCAGTCTCCTGAGTAGCTAGGATTACAGGCGTGAGCCACCAGCGCCTGCCCGGTGACTTGAACTACTTTTACCTTTGGTTTTTTACTGGTTGATTGGAGATAAGAATCTCTTGATTAGTCTTCCTGCCTGTTTTTTTGGGTCAGTCATAGGCCTTGAACTCTGGGCCTGAGTGTTGTCCCTGAACTCTTCAGCTCAAGGCAAGGACTCTACCACTTGAACCACAGAGCCACTTCTGGTTTTCTGATGGTTAATTGGAGATAAAAGTTTCACAGAGGGAGGAGGCTGCAATGCTTGGTAAGAAATGTACGCATTATCCTGCCCATGTAATTGTAACCCCTCTGTACAGTATGTTCACAAATAAAATAAAATTAAATTAAAAAAAAAAAGTTTCACAGAGGAACTGGGAAGGTGGCTCAGTGGTAGAGTGCTTGCCTTGCATGCCTGAGGCCCTGGGTTCGATTCCTCAGCACCACATAAGCAAAAAGAAAAGGCCGGAAGTGGCGCTGTGGCTCAAGTGGTAGAGTGCTAGCCTTGAGCTGAAGAGCTGAGGGACAGCGCCCAGGCCCAGAGTTCAGGTCCATGATTGGATCCCCCAAAAAAAAAGTTTCACAGACTTTCCTGCCCGGGCTGACTTTGAACTGCCATCCTCAGCTCTTAGCTTCCTAGAATAGCTAGGATTACAGGTGTAAGCCACCAGTGCCTGGCTGCCTGGCCTGTTTTGAACCTTAGTTCTCAGATCCCCACCTCCTGAATAGCTAGCATTATACGTGTGAGTTACCAGTGCCCAGCTTATTCCATCTACTTTGAAGAAGGTTAGTAAGAGACAAACACTCTTCCAGAGCCTTTGGCAAAAATGTCTAAAGATGATCTCCCAGCTTTGAGATCTTCTAGGCTAGTCTAAGTGAAGGCTTAGCTAGGAGAATGCTGGGTGATGGGCATGGCTGAGGTATGTGCAGGGTCTGTCCTAGAAGCTCATAGGATCTCTCTTGTTCTTTCTCCAGGTCAGTGGTCACTGCAAGAACATCCCCACTCTGGAGTTCGGGTTCCTGGTTCAGGTAATCAAGCTCGGCTCCCTGCTGTCTGACCATATGGTCCAAGGCTTCTTGGTTCCTCAGTTGGTTCAGTATTTCCTGAGTTGTTTTGCTCTCAGATTTATATTGTGTTGAATGGGTAGTGGCAAGAAAGGGCACAATGCCCATCCTCAAGAAGTATGCTAGAGGAGCTGGGAAGATGGCTCATTGGTAGAGCGCGCGCCTTGCATGCCTGAGGCCCTGGGTTCGATTCCTCAGCACCACATAAGCAAAAACAAAAAAGCCGGAAGTGGCGCTGTGGCTCAAGTGGTAGAGCACTAGCCTTGAGCTGAAGAGCTGAGAGACAGCGCCCAGGCCCAGAGTTCAGGCTCTACAACTGTGCCCCCCCCCCAAAAAAAAAAAAAAAAAAGAAGTATGCTAGAAGCCAGGCACTGGTGATCATGCCTATAATCTTAGTCTGTGTTACTGAATGCCAAGAAGACCTTTCACAGACCCGGTGTCTAGTAGGTACTCAATAGGTCTGCATTACTGAACAAAACTTGCATGCCCTGTTAATGGGCCAACTACCAGATTTATACCCCAAAAAAATGAAAGTGAGACAAAGATAAGATCAGTAGTCTAGGAGAATGGTGCAGGATCTTTGCTTCAGCGCCATCTTCCCAGCACAGAAGTGCCTGTTTTTGACCAATCTGCTGGCTCATTATTCAGTGTAGTTGAAACTGTTTCTCAGGCCCCTTGCCATCTGATCTGAACTAAAGTAGGACAGTCTGTAATTACCACAACTGTGGTTAAGAGTTTGATTAGCACCTGTTGTTGTTTATAGACCATGTTCAAGGACATTTTTTGTTGTTATGGGTTGTAGGACTTGAACTGAGGGCCTGGGCACTGTCCCTGAGCTCTTATGCTCAGGCTATTGTTCAACCACTTTGAGCCACAGTGTCACTTCCAGTTTTTGAGTGGTTAATTAGAGATAAGAGTGTCACAGACTTTTCTACCCAGACTAGTTTTGAACTAAGATCCTCAGATTTCAGCCTCCTGAGTAGCTAGGGTTACAGGTGTGAGCCATGGGCACACTGGTAGGGGTATAATCTTATTTCTTGCAAAATGGCTATGAAGTTACGTTATAAATGAGGAGACCATGGCTCAAGTTGACTGACTTAGCCCATTATATTCGCTGCTAAGTTGCGTTTAGAAGAGATAAGGTATTGGCCCAGGACTAGTAAATCCAAAGCTATGCCTGCTCTTATTTTTTATAGTACTATATGGACTTAGCGCTTAAGTCAGCTAATAAGTTGAAACACAGGGCCCAAGAATAGATCCTGCCTTTTGTAAAGAGTTGGAAGGAAGGAGAAAATGTGAAGAAGAAGCTTAAGTTATTTCCTGCATCTCAACAATAAGAAAAGCTCCTCTGTTCCTCTGTCTGTGCCTTACTCCCAAAAGACACAGTCTGTTCTCACCCCAGATCATGAAGTATGCCGAGCAGAGGATCCCGACACTGAACGAGTACTGTGTGGTGTGTGACGAGCAGCATGTCTTTCAGAACGGGTCCATGCTCAAGGTAGAGGCCCACTGACCACACTCTTGCCCCAGGTCTTCCACTTCAGCTGTCCTCCTTTCCTGGTCCCATGGTAAAGGGTGAATTTTGTTCCTATTCCCAGGACTGCAGAAATCATTGTTTCCCTCAGAAAACAATTCTCAGTCATGCTGGTTGGATCACTGTGGACATGAGGACATGGTCCTCACTTAACATTTAGAGCAGATCAGGGATTTACCCCGTGACTGATGATGTTATCGCTCTGAGATACTCCCATGTCTAGGTGGGCAGATAGAGCTTTGCTATAAAGTGCCGTGTAAGGCTGGAGTTGTAGCTTACTGGTAGAGTGCTTGCCTAGCATGCATGAAGTCCTGGGTTCGATTTCTCAGTACCACATAAACAGAAAAGACCGGAAGTGGGGCTGTGGCTCAAGTGGTAGAGTGCTAGTCTTGAGCTGGAAGGGATAGTGCTCAGGGACAGTGCTCAGGCCCTGAGTCCAAGCTCTAGGACTGGCAAAATAACACCAAAAACAAAGTGCCATGTATAGTGAGCATATAGAAGAGATAGGAGCATTGCTTCAGAAAGTCAGAAGAGAGAACAGGACTACCTAAAAGGTCATTGAAGTCTGAAAAGTTAGTATAACTCAAGCTTACCAGTAAGGCATTCTAATTAAAGCTTTGCCTATTTAGTTTTTTCTTGATGCAAAGGGCCCCAAATTCCTTCTGTAGACTAGAGTTGTCTAAGGCACACCCCACACCCCAGCCACCTGTTTAATATGTCATTGCAGCCAGCTGTCTGTACTCGTGAGCTGTGTGTCTTTTCCTTCTACACACTGGGCGTCATGTCTGGAGCTGCAGAGGAGGTGGCGACAGGCGCTGAGGTAGGGGAGAGGGATGAGCAGCTGGGGAACTGGGATCCAGCCCTTTCATACCTTGGAATTCAGCCTCCAGAATGCTTTCATGTGTAAGGATGTTCACTAAAGCATAGTTTATAAGACAAAACCCAGATACAATCCCAGGGACAGAACTTAGAGTATGTCCTTCCAGTGAAAATACAGTGAATATGGCTATGACATTGTTGCATGTAGTTATATTGAAAAGCAAGTGCATAGCTGGGCATAGTGCCACATCCCTGTGGTCGAGCTGCTTGAGAGACTGGGACAGGAGGTTTGCTTAAGCCCATGAGGTACAATCCCTATCAAGGGAGGGAGGGAAGAGGTAATTTGAAAGAAAATTATTTCCATAGCAAAAATGCCATCAAACTTAACTATAATATAGTAGTAACCCCTTTGTACAACTAGTGAATATAATTTTTAAATAAACTCCCAAATTTATGCTCTTCATCAAATTTAATCGGTGAGGAAATGAGATTTGTTTGTGCATATGAGGATTATATTTAACTGTTTCTTTAACCATTTGGCTATCACCCAAAGTTTTATATTACATTTTCTAATTTCTAAGTCATGAGCACATTTCTTAAAAAATGAAAAACAGCTGGGCACCGGTGACTCACACCTGTAATCCTAGCTACTCAGGAGGCTGAGATCTGAGGATCATAGTTCAAAGGCAGCCTAGGTAGGAAAGTCTATTAGATTCTGATCTCCAATTAACCACCAGGAAACTGGAAGTGGCGCTGTGGCTCAAGTGGCAGGGCACTGGCCTTGAGCTGAAGAGCACAAGGACAGCGCCCAGGCCCAGAGTTCAAGCACCAAGACCGACAAAAAAAAAACAAACAGAAAAACAGCAGGCAGAAATGCTGAATACTGTGTGGCTCACAGAAGCATCATTTAGTTTCGCTCCCCCTTTCCTTCCCTCTCAGGTGGTGGATCTGCTGGTGGCCATGTGTAGGGCAGCTTTAGAGTCTCCTAGAAAAAGCATCATCTTTGAGCCTTACCCCTCTGTGGTGGACCCCACGGACCCCAAGACTCTGGCCTTTAACCCTAAGGTATGATGCTCAGGAAGAGCATTAGGGCTAAGAAGCAAATAGTGAGAAACAGGGGGAGAATGGGAATAAGGGACAGACGAAATGGAAGACTTGTTTCCTGTGAACTCTTGCATCCTAGGATGTAGCTGTTTCAGGGAAGGAATAGCTGGGTTTGTCAGAAGTCAGGGAGGAAGTTAATATTAGTTCCATCATGATGGGTGGAAGCAGAGAAGCCTGGATTCCCTCTGAGGGTCTGAGGCCTCCTCATTGAATGCACTAGGGAAGCCACTTGGCCTCCTAACCTCACTTGGCTAATCCTGTTAAAGGTAGCATAGGTAACCTGTAAATACCCTCCTCCAGTTCCCTAGGACGAGAGGAATGTGTTACATACATGAATGAATGAGGTTTAAATTCCAGTGGTCAGCAGGCTGGAGGCCCTGGAGAACTTGTGTCTCAAGTTCTAGTCCAGAGACCTGAGAACCAGGACTGGTGTAAGTTCCAGTCTGAGAGGCAGCAGGCTCAAGACCCAAGAAAACCCAGTTTTGTAGTTCATTGGTGCTGTAACTCAGGAGGAAAACGCTTTCCTTGAGAGGCAGTTGGGACATCTTCAGTTAACAGATGAAACCCTTACACATAAGGAGGACAATCCACTTTACTTGATCTGCTCATTGCCGTGTTAATCTGAGCCCTAAAACACCCATGTCATAAACAAACTCAGAAATCACATTTGACCAAAGGGCTAGGTAACCAATGGCCCAGTCAAATTGACTCCTAAAGTCTGCCATTGCATGTAGTCAGTGTATCAAGTACTCTTCTGCACTCTTCACATGTTAACAGGATATTTAATCATCGGAACGCCTCTGTGAGAGTGGGCTTAATCTTGTTGTTTTTATTTGTAAATGGGCTAGAGTATAGCTTGGTAATAGAACTCTTACCTAATGTACAAAGCCCTGGGTTTCATTCCCAGACTACACCCCCCCCCCCAAAAAAAAAAGTGATGATCAGTGGCAAGCAAGTAAGACATGAGCTTGCCCTGTCAGTTCCAGCTGCCACTTGAGAACTCAGACCATCTCAGAATTCCAGAACTGGCTGGTTTCACACCTGTGTTCTTTCAGGAAAGCACCCTTTCCTTGAGCCTAGGCCTTTGGGCATCTGACCCTCCCTTTAATTACGGCATCCTCTCTCCTTTATTCTTCTTCATCTGGTTCTTCTCTTCCATTAATACTTCACAGAAAAAGAATTATGAGCGGCTTCAGAAAGCTCTGGATAGCGTGATGTCCATCCGGGAGATGACGCAGGTATTCTGCCCCCTGTGTGTCCCCTGCCTGCCTGCTGAGCTGCCTGTTCTGCTTGCAGTTGGTGGGGTGAGCTGAGAATTTAGATAAGCTGCTTGTTTCTTTAGGGGTCCCTCTGGCCTTCTCAGGTATTGTTCTCTGGTTTTCAGTTCCACACTATTTACTCTCTGCACTTAGTGTCACTTGCAGCTTTTGTCTCTGCTGCTGATTCATTCACAAGTTCATGCCAAGGGCTTTTCCCTAATGCTTAGGGATTAGAGAGGTGAGGGGAAGACTTGTGCCAGAGGTTGGGAGGGTGAGGTGTGGGGCTTGGAGATAGGGCTCCAGACCAGACCCAGGACCTATATTATCTGTCTTTCCAGGGGTGGGCAGCCACAAGGAGCAGTGACAGTCCTTTGCCTCACTGCTGTCTCTTACCAGATTTCCCATCTCTCATCCGCACTGCACATTTGTAAACATTCATTTGTACTCAGGCAGGTCTCTTCTCAGCAAATCTTATGTGAATACAGCAGGTGCTCTGGGAGAGCTGACTGACTTGTCAGAAGCACTCTGCTCTGTGAACATTTAGCATAGGGTTCCCTACCCTAATCTTTCTGGGACACTGATTTCATTTTATTTTATTTTTTATTTTTTGGTTGGTTGTGGGGCTTGAACTCTGGGCTTGGGCGCTAGCCCTGAGCTTTTCAGCTCAGGGCTAGCACTCGACCACTTGAGCCATAGCGCCACTTCCGGCTTTTTCTGTGTAAATGGTACTGAGGGATCGAACCCCAGGCTTCATGCAAGCATTACTACTAGGCCACATTCCCAGCCCTGATTTTATTCTTTGATTTACAATTAACTTTTTTATGGCTATAGGAATTGCATAAAATGATAGAGACCTGTTGGGCGCCGGTGGCTCACACCTGTAATCCTAGCTACTCAGGAGGCTGAGATCTGAGTGCTAGCCCGGGCAGGAAAGTCCATGAGACTCTTTTCTCCAATTAACCACAGAAGTGGCACTGTGGCTCAAGTGGTAGAGTGCTTGTCTTGAGCTGAAGAGCTCATGGACAGCGCCCAGGCCTAGAGTTCAAGCCCCACACGGACCAAAAAAAAAAGAGAGAGACCCGTCTACATGTTTTATAAAGCTGTTTGGTTATTTTCTTACTTTTTTCTGAGTCTCCAACTTGTGTGGGACTCCTTGCGGGTGGGAACCCCGTGTGCTCTGTCCTCCAGTTGCTCTCAGTGGCTCTCAGTGGCTAACCTGCCCTAGGTCCACTAGTCTATGGAAAGTGCTTGGGCTCCGCCTCTCCTAGAGGTGATCTTACAGCCATTGTTTTTCAGGGCTCATACTTGGAAATCAAGAAGCAGATGGACAAGCTGGACCCCCTCGCCCATCCTCTCCTACAGTGGTAAGGCTCAGCCTTCCAGGGGTGGGTGGGGAAGGAGGACCGTATGGGATGTAAAGCCTATACCACTCAGCAACAAGTTTTAACATCCTTTATAATAGATGATATGGCTGATCCTATGCCTTGCCATGACAGATCTGAGATCCTCCAGAGAGCTCACAAACTGACATTTATCTGACAAATTCTCTTTAAGCATACTATGTTTCCTGAAAGTTTTTTTTTGTACTGTACTAGGGCTTGAATTCAGGACCTTGCATTCTCACTCTTTTTCTTCCCTCATGGCTCCTGCTTTATCACTTGAGCTATGTCTCCATCCAACATTTTGCTGGTTAATTGGAGATGGATTTTCTGCACAGACTAACTTTCTGAGTCATTAGCATTAAAAGGATGAAACACTAATGCCTGGCTTATTTAATTTTTTTCCCCCCAGTTGTGGGGCTTGACCTCAGCCTGGCACTTTCCCTGAGCTCTTCAGCTCAAGGCTAGCATTCTAACACTTGAGCCACAGCGCCACTTCTGGTTTTCTGTTGGTTAATTAGAGATAAGAGTCTCACAGACTTTCCTACCTGGGCTGGCTTTGCACTGCGATCCTCAGATCTCAGCCTCCTGAGTAGCTAGGATGACAGGCGTGAGCCACGAGGGCCTGGCTTTTTTTTTTTTTTTATTGAATGAAAATTACCCGCACATGTCATACAACATGATATTTGGAAATATGTGATGCAGCTGAAGTGGCTCATTAGAGTTAATTAGCATGTCATTACCTCATATAGTTATTTCTTGTGGTGAGGCACTTAAAATTTACTCTCAGCAGTTTTCAGAAGTACAGTTACATGGTTGCTAACTACAGTCACTACCAAATAGGTTGCAGTGTCTCTCACACGCAGGAATTTGTAGTTTATTTCAGCCAAGCTTTCTATGCTTCTCTTCCTTGCTGTTGTTTCCTGCTGGCTTATTGCCCTCTTTCTCCTCAGCCTTGGCATCAGTACTGATTTGTGCAATAGCTTTGCCCCTCTTGGCACAAGCAATGACCAGGCATGGACTGTGGCATGGGTTCAGATGAGGCACACATCCACCATGGGAGGCAGTGCTCTCTTGCTCAGCCCTACTGTTTTATATCTGTTCTCGCCTGTCACTGACTCCTCAGGAAGTTCATTCTAGTTTCTTCTGCTTCATTCTTTAGCTCAGTTAGTAATGTTCATGCTATTCCTCCCCATCCTTAAAAACCTGGCTCCCTCTGCACTCAGGCCCAGTGGCTCCTGAGCCCCAGTTCTAGGTCTGAATCCCAGGTTATCACTATCCTCTTCCCCAGGTGACTCCTTGTCTTTGTGTTCCATCCTTTTCTCTCTGGATGTAGCAGCTTACTTCATACGTGTTCTTTCTCTCATTTTTTTTTTTTTGGAGGGGTGTTGGTCATGGGGCTTGAACTCGAACTAGGCACTGTCCCTGAGCTCTTCAGCTCAAGGTGAGCACTCTACCACTTGAGCCACAGCACTACTTCCAGTTTTCTGGTGGTTAATTAGAGATAATAGTCTCATGGACTTTCCTTCCCAGGCTAGCTTTGAACTGTGAGCCTCAGATCTCAGCCTCCTGAGTAGCTAGGATTACAGGTGTGAGCTACCAGCGCCCAACCTTTCTCTCCTTTATCCTGTTATGTAACTCTCATCTGATGAGAAGCTTCTCTAAAAATTTTATGCACCAGCATCTAAACTCAAAGGAGTGATATTCAGTCATGACCCAGGTGTGTCACAAAATTGACAGCCCAGGAATCTGCTCATTCTCCAGGAGCAGGGGAGGTTATTTAACCACACACTTACTCAAACCTGTCTGCTTTTCTCTGTTTCTTCCCAGGATCATCTCCAGCAACAGGTCACACATTGTCAAACTACCTCTCAGCAGGGTAAGTGATTGAGCCAAGTATGAGTGTGTGTGTGTGGGGGGGGGGGCAGTTGGAGGGGGAGTGTCCTAAGTCATCTGACCACATTGATACTGGATCTGCCTAGCTCTCCCCATTAACAGACTTTAGGCCCATGCATACTTCCCTTTTTTTGGAGTCAGTGCAAGCCTGATTAGTTCCTGTTCCCACCCCCCCAACCCTTCCTTCCCTGATCTCCATTTCTGCTCTGTTTTCCTGATCCCACCCCACCCTGGGCAGCAGCTGAAGTTCATGCACACCTCACACCAGTTCCTCCTGCTGAGCAGCCCTCCTGCCAAGGAGGCCCGGTTCCGGACCGCCAAGAAGCTCTACGGCAGCACCTTTGCCTTCCAGTGAGGAGTGGGGAAGTGAGGGGTAGTGGGGGCAGGGGAGGACGACACATGCTCGAGGTGAATGAGTTCATGGGATAAGTGCCCATCAGGTACTCAGCACATATTCTATTACCTGCTGTTGAGTTCTGGCATAAGCGTATGACACATTTCTCAAGCTGCCTGGGATGCCATAGAAGAGAAACAACATTTTAATGTAAAAATGTGTGGTTGGGAGAATGGGAAACATACAATTTACGTCTGATTGTGCGAGGAAGGAGAAAAAGGCCTGAAGGTTAACTTGAAGGAGTGTTAGTACTCTTTTCTTAAGATAGACTGTGATGTCTTCTGCTGGCTACATTAGGGCTCAATAGTGAGTCTGTTGAGTTTGAGATGAACTTGCTGAATTTGAAATACAGGAGAATAGGACAAATGAGGGCAAATCCTAGACCATCTCCTGAGGACAGGCCTGGAATGAAGATGGAAGGTGCGCACACACGCACACATACATGCACACACGGCCTGTGCCCATGCCCATCTTGATGTCTGTGTGGGTGACGGCAGGAGGGGAACTTCGTACTGGAAGAGACATGATTATTACTCTGCCTTACAGTGGGTCCCACATTGAGAACTGGCATTCAATCCTGCGCAATGGGCTGGTGAACGCATCCTACACCAAGCTGCAGGTGAGGCTGGCCCCTTCTCTGCTCTCTTCCTCCTGCCCTCTCAGTGGGGGAGGCTGCGTTTGGGAGGCTGGTTTTGTCTCAGTTTCCTCCCACCTCTCTTGTTTGGGAGCTTCCCCGGGTGGACATTGGAATTATACTTCTAGAATGAATGTGGCTGCTATAGACTCAAGCTTAGGGGATAGGAAGGACTCTTGTATGCAGAGAGGCAGAATTACTGATTGTAGCTGCTGGGTTGCATTAACCCACTAGATAGATAGATAGATAGCTTGCTCATTTCAGGTTCACTGCCTTTTCAGGAGTTGGAAACAGAACTGTTCTTTGCCCTGAGAGAGACAAGGAATAGTTGTTACTCTCCCTAGCTGCCTCTTCTGCAATTCCTCTGTTTTGTGACTGCATATATACCAAGGCCTCAGACTAGAATATGGGTGCTGAACAAGTGACTGAGAGGCTTTTCTTCCTCAGCCCATTTCAGCTCAGCAGAGCATTAATCTGTAGCATTTCATAAGCAGTTTAACCTCAGTCTGCTTTTCAGCCAATCAGCTTTTCAAGAGTAGGCACCTAGCTCTCTGTCAATGAGTAGAAGGTAGATAGATGGAGAGACAGAGGACTGGATAAGCCTTGTCGATGCCTAATGTATGGCCATGGGAGGACCCAGGCTCATGTGTCCATCCTGGTGTTTCCCCGCAAGCTGCATGGAGCAGCCTATGGCAAAGGCATCTACCTGAGCCCCATCTCCAGTATTTCCTTTGGATACTCAGGTAAGAAACGTGCTCTGTCCAACCACCCTGACTCTGCTTACATTGCATCCGTTTGTGAACACGTGATCTGTGCTGTCCCCTCCCATCGTGAGCACTGGGTCTCTGTCCACCCTCCCGGTTATAGATACGTTGTCACCTTCTACTTCCTCTCATGACAAATGTAGATTCTTTAGGAGGTTCTTGTTTAAAAGTGGTTTTATACATGGTAGGGATGGCTTAAGGAATAGCTGGGAAGTAGGACAAGGTGTTTTGTGCAGTTGCAGAGTGTGTGTGTGTGTGTGTGTGTGTGTCTGTCTGTCTGTCTGAATATCTCTTGGGAATACCTCAGGCTCAGGTTCTTGCATACACCTACATTTCTAGAGACACTTCCTCCGCTACCATTCCACTATTTTCAAAGTCCCATTAAATGCAAGAGGAAACATTTTGTGTCATAAGCAAGAATAAGGCATTGAGAATGTGGCTTAGTGGTAGAGTGCTTGCCTAGCATGCATGAAGCCCTGGTTTTGATTCCTCAGCACCACATAAACAGAAAAATCCAGAAGTGGTGCTGTGGCTCAATGTGGTAGAATGCTAGCTTTAAGCAAAAGAAGCTCAGGGACAGTGCCCAGGCCCTAAGTTCAAGCCCCAGGAATGGTGGGGGAAAAAAAAAAAGAACCAAGAATAAGATTTTGAGTTGACTGGGGAGGGTGTCAGGAAAGGGATATAGGGATATGGTGTGGACTTCTTCAGCCTTCATGTCCATGCTCCTCTGTCTGCTTTTGTTCTTTGTCACCACCGTCTTGGTGTAAGGGATTACCATCGTGTACTTCCATGTCTACTTGATGAAAGTAATTAATTGTTCTGGATCCTTAGTGAGCTGTGATTGGTAGTACATGCTTGCAATCCCAGATCTTTAAGAGTCTCAGGCAGGAGGATCAAGAAATAAGGCCAGCTGGGTGCCGTGGCTTACACCTGTCTGTAATCCTAGCTGATATCTAAGGATTACGGTTCAAAGTCCCTGTGAAACCCTTAGTTCCAATAAACTACTGAGAAAAAGCTGGAAGTGGTGCTGTGACTCAAGTGGTAGAGTGCTAGCTTGAGCAAAAGAAGCTTAGGGACAGCGCCCAGGCCCTGAGTTCAAGCCCCAGGATGAACATAAACAAAAAACAAAAACAACAACAGGTCAGGCAAAAAAATCTATGAAACCCCATCTCTAAAATATCTAGCAATAAGTCAGAGGCATGGCTCAAGAGATAGAGTGCCAGCTGAGCAAGCACTGTCCTTGAGTTTCTTTTGCTCAAGGCTAGCATTCTACCACTTGAGCCATAACGTCACTTCTGGCTTTTTCTGTGTATGTGGTACTAAGGAATTGAACCCAGGGCTTCATGCATGCTAGGCAAGCACTCTACCACTAAGCTTCCTTCCTAGCCCTTCCAGGCCCTGAGTTCAAAACCCCAGCACCTGAGGGGGGGGAAAAGGACTAGAGATGTAGCTCAGTGGATGAGGCTCTGGGGTTAACCCTCAGCTTCATTAAAACAAACAAAACACACTTTAAGAAAGATGATTTGCTTTTAGTTGGGCTTGGTGTGCACTATAATCCCAGCACTTGAGAGTCTGAGGCCAATGCCTCATACTTGTCATCGTAGCTACTCAGGAGGCTGAGATCTGAGGATCATAGTTCAAAGCCATCTGGCAGGAAAGTCTGTGAGACTCTTCATCTCCAGTGAACCATCAGAAACCAGAAGTGGTGCTGTGGCTCAAAGTGGCCTTGAGCAGCGCCCAGGCCCCAAGTTCAACCCTATGACTGACAAAGAGAGAGCAAGAGAGAGGGAGGGAGAAAGGAAGGGAGGGAGGGAAAGAAAGGAGTCCCTCCTGCCTGGGTGCCTGAGATTGTACCTAAGATAACTAGTCTACAGGATCTCCTTTGTTGCCTAAGGGGCTGTCACTTGTTACATCATTTTGGAGAGCAGTTTGAAATCATTGCCTTCCTGCAGCTGAAGAGTTGATTGCTGCGGCCTTGGGGTTGCCATCCCTACCAGTGTCCCAGCCCAGGTGTGTGGCCATGCTCACTGCAGGCCTGGTGTTGCTCTCCCTGCCAGTGCACCAGCATGGGCATGTGTAGGAATGCTTACTGCAGCAGCACTGGAAACAGCTCAGGCACGCCTCAACACACTACTGCATAATACAGTTGAGGTAGTCGAGCGACGGATTTCATCAGTGAGAATGACATCAGTGGCATGCTGCAATAACATAGACAAACCCTAGGAATACTGACTGTAAGCTGGATGCTCTCACCCATAATTCTAGCTACTCAGAGGCTAAGATCTGAGAATTGTGTTTTGCAGCCTGCCCAGGCACTAAAGTCAATGAGACTCTTAACTCTTAATTATAATAATGAAAAACCAGAAGTAGAGCTCTGATTCAAGTGGTAGAACACTAGCCATGAGCAAAAAAGCTCAGGGACAGCGCCTGAGTTCAAGCTCCAGCACCAGCACAAAAAAGGAAAACAGTGGGGCTGGGAAGGTGGCTCAGTGGTAGAGTGCTTGCCTTGCATGCATGAGGCCCTGGGTTTGATTCCTCAGCACCACATAAGCAAAAAGAAAAAAGCCAGAAGTGGCGCTGTGGCTCATGGGGTAGAGTGCTAGCCTTGAGCTGAAGAGCTGAGGGGCAGCGCCCAGGCCCAGAGTTCAGGCCCCACGACCGGACTCAAAAAAAAAAAAAACTGTTAAAAAAGGAAAACAGTCAAAATAGTAACTCTGAGCAGAGCCTTGCCTAGCATGCATGAGGCTCTCAGTTCCTGGCACTGAAAAATAATAGGAACCCAAATTTCAGGATAGCAGTGCTCTTCGAGGGCCCTCTGACTTGTAGTTCTTAGATTGGGTCTCTAGGAATTTTTCTTTTAAAAAGTAATAACCTAGCCGGGCACCAGTGTCTCATGCCTGCAATCCTAGCTACTCAGGAGGCTGAGATCTGAGGATCACAGGTCAAAGCCAGCCAGGGCAGGAAAGTCTGTGAGACTCATCTCCAATAAACCACTAGAAAACCAGAAGTGGCGCTGTGGCTCAAGTGGTAGAGCGCTCGCCTTGAGCTGAAGAGCCCAGGGACAGGGCCCAAGCCCCAAAGTTCAACCCCCATGACCGACAAAAAAAAAAAAAAAGTAATAACCTGCCTGCCGGGTGCTGGTGGTTCAAGCCTATAATCCTTGCTACTCTGGATGCTGAGATCTGAGGATCGTGGTTCAAAGCCAGCCTAGGCAGGAAAGTCTGTGAAACTCTTATCTCAAATAAACCACCAGAAAACTGGAAATGGCACTGTGCTTTTTTTTTTTTTTTGGTAGGTCATGGGGCTTGAACTCTGGGCCTGGGCACTGTCCCTCAGCTCTTCATCTCAAGGCTTGCACTCTACCGCTTGAGCCACAGCACCACTTTCGGTTTTCTGAGTGGTTTATTGGAGATAAGAGTCTCATGGACCTACCTGCCTGGGCTAGCTTTGAACCGTGATCCTCAGATCTCAGCCCCCTGAGTAGCTAGGATTCAGGTGTGAGCCACCAGCGCCTGGCAGAACACTAGTCTTGAGCTGAAGAGCTGAGGGACACCACCCTGGCCTAGAGTTCAAGCCCAGACAACCAACCAAAACCAAAACTAATAACCTGCTGGGTGCCAATGACTCATACCCATAATCCTTGGTACTCAGAAGGCTGAGAGATCTGAGGATTGAGGTGCACTGCCAACCCGGGCAGGAAAGTCCATGAGACTCTTATCTCCAATTAACCTCCAGAAAACCAGAAGTGTCACTGTGGTTCAAGTGGTAGAGTGCCCGTCTTGAGCTGAAGAGCTGAGGGACAGCGCCCAGAGTTCAAGCCCCATGATCGACAAATAGAAAAGTAATATGTTATTAAATCAACATGATTGACTCACAGGAAGTTGGCCAATCCATGTTTATTGAATGTGTGAATGAATCAGTCATACTCTGTGCTTCCGGTCAAAGTGGAGGGGGCTGAGGTACTTCCCTGGGCTTATCTGTCATGTTCCTCATCCTTGTCCCAACATTTCTATGATTCAGCTCTGTTTCCCAGTGTGGGGATTCCTGTGGCTTTTAATAGCCACATGTTCATCCATTCTGTGTTCCTCCACCATTCCCTCTCTCTCCTCCCCTCTTCCCCCAGCAGTCTTGTTGACCATTAAGTGCCTGGATACCTTTAGTATCTTGTCTTCCCTCAATACTTCACTGATGCCATAAACACCTCAAATGAACCCTCTTCCCTTTTCAAACAGGCATAACCCAGATCAGAAATTCCATAGAACTTTTATTATCCACATTAGATCATGTAGCCCAGTTCCTTATTACTTTACAGATAAGAAGCTGATTGACAGCAGGCTACATTGCCTCTTCAAGGTCCAGCTCTGAGGAGCAGAGCCATAACTGGAACCCACGTCTCCTGACATCTAGGCTGGTGCTCTCACTATGGGCTGGCAGAGGAGGCTTTGAATGAACCACAGTCTGAGGTCCCCCGGGTTAGATTGAAATGTGCATATCTTTGGAAGGAATGTGTGTAAATGTCCCACTTCTGTAGTTACACTGGCATCTGGCCATCTGTCAGTATATTTTCTTCCATTCTGCCCCAGTCCTCTGTGTGTTCTTCCTTGGCGGTGGAGACTAGTACAAATAGCAAACATCCATTTGCCCAATGGATGCTCTGATGACTTGGCCAAAATGTGCCAGTTGAAATGAAGGAGAATGAGAAAGGAGTTGGTGGATTCCATCTGTTTAGCCCTGTTTAGGGACTTGTCTGTAGATAGGAAGCGTGTAGAGATTATTCTAGCTGCCATGTTCTCAGGGTGTGGTCCCAGGAAAGGGACAGAGTGACATTGGGTCAGTACAGATTAGACAGTGAAACAGGATTGCCCTAGGACAAGACTCTGTTCTGTCTTAAGTGTTTCCCTACTTCCCACCCCCAGAGTCAGATTATTTTTTCTTATCCCCCATCTGCTCCCTGGAGTAGAACCCGAGGGAACTTGCTCTCAGAATCGTGAGATATCTAGTCTGAGAAGGTTGTAATGTTTGGTGCAGACTGCACTGAGGGAGTTGGCATTGAAGCTGAGACTCCCCCTTGTCCTCCCTTTAGTTCAGGCTGTGCGTCTGTCCTGGAGCCTCAGTGTGGGAGCATGGGGAGGTACAGGTGGTGAGTGCAGAATGTACTTCCAATAGATGTCACCCACGACTACACCAGGGCTGTCCGGATTGCCGGGATGGAAGCAGTATGGAGCTAGTAGCAATAGAAAATTGTAGCCAGGCACTAGTGGCTCAGCTACAGTTACTTCTGAGATCCATAGAATTGTGGTTGGAAGTCAACCAGGGTAGGAAAATCCTCAGTTCGTGTGTGTGTGTGTGTGTGTGTGTGTGTGTGTGTGTGTGTGTGTGTGTGTGT